TATATATATATATATATATATATATACCCTAGCATGATGGCTGATGGATTTCTGATTGTTCATGCAAATCTGAACTTGCACTAAGCGAGCAAACATAAAAAGGCTGTGGCTGAATGACAACATTTTTCATTTTGCTGTTGCAGTGACCTCTGTTTAATTCACCTATGAGAATACCTTTGACTGTTCATTCATCCTGCAGATTGTTAAAAAAGACAGAATGATTACATGGATCTGTTTTTGAACTGACTGCACCTTGAGTTCTGATTGCCTCCTTGAATTAATTAACAGTTGTGTTGCCTCTGCAGGACAGCGGCTGTTACTTACTGAATACTGATGGTGTTAAAATCCCACGTTAGAGCATATGGCTACCAGTTAACAGAGCTGGCCCCAGGCTAAATGTCCGGATCACCTTGAGAATGATTGCCATTCCAAGGCTGGAAAACCAACAATTTGAGATTGTCATCTGTTAGGCTAATATTTGGTGTAGGCTGTACTCTGGAGATTCAATTCCGCTGTCAAACATTTGCCAAGAACACTTTAACACTATTGGTCCCAAATTCTCCTAAACTTTCTCTCAGAAGCTCTAAGGGTAAGTTCATCATAATCGTCTCTTTAAAATCGCAAAAAATGTAACCAGACCTACCCTTGAGCATTGAGTGTTTTAGTAGATATTGCGTGCATTTGTAAGGACGACACCAGTCTATAGCTGTGTGACATTTTCTTAGCTTTAGTGTTGAGTTGAGCTTCCAATTCTGGTGGCGCTCAGTGCTTCGTTCGTTTTCTCTGCTTTTTGGATGTAGGTCTGTGTTGATCCACATTCACCACCACCCTCCACACTCATTCAAAAGCACTCTGCTGAATTATAGCCCTGTTTTGTTTTTAATCTGTCCACTAAAACGTCATTTATACCAATATTGTTTCTTACTCTTACAGCATTTAGAGCAAGGGCAGAAAATATTGCTAGAGATTTAAGTGCCGCAGAAATAGAGTGTGTTCAAAAAAGCTCCTGACCCAGTTTTAGTTTGAAAACTCCAGGACTGCAGTTTGTTCTGCGCAGGCAGAAATCGAGACTTTTAGAAGGGATTACACAGACACTAATGTTTGCTTCCAGACTGATTTTTATTGTAATCCGTACTCCTTGTTTTGCTGAGTGTTTCTTTTCTCATCTCCTGTCCTCTGTCTGCCTCTCTGTTGTGTGGTGTGAGTTTATTGTTGCTACCTCCCCTAGTTTATTTCTTAGAAGCTTAGATCCTTGTGGCTTTCCGTGTTTTTACCTCCCTGCTTTGTTCTCTTTTTCAACCTTGTCAATGTCTGAGTTCACCTGAGGCCTGTAGTGAAGCAGGATTTGGGTCAGAGTAACAACAGTTTTAACCCTTGGTTTTCAGTTTTCTTTCTGGGATGCATCATAAAATCAGCTTTGCGGCCTGCTTTTGGAATTTCCTGTTGCACTGTGTGCTTAGTTAAGCTTAAAAATATCTTAGATTTCCTTCTTTTGCCACATCAGCCTCCAGTTAGTTGTCAGTAAAGGAATTACTATGAATTACTACATCTCACAGCTCTAAATAGTTCATCGATAGTAGTCAGTACACATTTTATTTAGTCATACAAATCCTGTAAAACAAATCAAACTTAAAAATCAAAAACCTAAAATAAATGATAAATGTCAGAAAGACTTCATATA